CTGAGTTTACTTTTATGTGCACAGACTTCCTTCTATCCCTTTTTGGGATAAAATAAATGAAAATCCTGAGTAGGACAGATGATGAATAGCATATCCATCAGAGGAAAAGACAATAAGCTGGTGCCTGAGGCTGGTACTAAAAGCAGCACAAACTGGCACAGGCTCTTACAAGCCAGCAGGGACAATAACTGGATGGATGAAGCAGCAATGCAGCAACTTCCATCCATAGGGGAGAAAAAAGAAAGAAGGTGCTGTCACTCCTCCCTGTACAGACAGTGGGCAAGTTTTTTAGTCCCTTAGGAAGAACTATTCAGTGGTATCTTTGTAAAGGCTCCTGGCTGTTGATACTTGCAACTGAAAAGGGAAGTTGAGGAGCATCCTCTGGATGAAGTGGAATGTTGAAAAACCAATCCTTCAAATCAATGATTAAAAGTGGCCACTCTCTTGGGATCATTGAGAGAGAGGGATGTCCAAGTTGAAGTGGTCCCATTTCCTTGATGACCTTCTAAAATCATGAAGTAATCTCCAATTAGAAGTTTTCTTGTGAATAACGAACACTGGGGGATTCCAGGAACTGTTTGTTGGATTAATGAGGTCTTTCTGCAATTGTTCTTTCACTAAATGTTCCAGAACACTAATTTTCTTTTCTTCCAGGGGCCACTGGTCCACCCATACTGGGTCATTCATTTTCCAGGTTAATTTTAGGGTGCACCACCCCACAGAAAAGGGTTCAAGACTGGCTTGCCCAAAATCAGAAAGCCTCTTTTTAATGGCATTGGTTTAAGAAATGGGAGTCCTGTGCTCTGGCTCCTTTTCCAATGACAGTTTCGGTCTTTTTTTCATTATCTATTTAAAATTCATACACAGTCTAAAGACATGGGCTCAGGTGCTCTCCCTCCCTCCCTCTCAAGGAAGCTCTTGTTGCTTCACCTGCAGAATCACATCCTTGCTGGTTTTCCAACACAGGCCACTGGGGATTTTGGCAGATGGCCCTGGTATTATGACAGCCATGAATATTGGTACTGAGAACTGGCTTTAACCTGGAGGAGTTGGCAGCCCCCAGAGGAGAGGGGGCCTGGCTGCTTCTGAAAGTCAGGAGGAAACTGGTCATGTCTGCTGGGTCCTGGGGGAGTATCCTGGGAAAGGGGTTTACCCAAGCACCTACACTGGGGACACATAGGGACAGGCCCCTGGCTGGGCTTCAACAAGAAAGGGTTGCTACATGCAAGGCTTTGACTAACACAAAAATGGGTTTGAGGCCCAAGAGAAGAATGAGTTTTGTATTCTGAGAAAGTTCAGCCTGTCTGGGGGTGAGACTGCTCAACTGAGCCCCCCAAAAACCAGAGAGCCAGATACATCTAGCTGATTAGTAACAATGAGTAGATGGTAGTTATGGAGGGATAGAATGTAAGAAAATAAAGATAGTGCAGAAGGTAGTCTCACCCCTGAGGAGTTACAGCCATACCAATCACCAAAGACTAGGAACAGGCCTGCCCTTAATAGGCCACAGCTGTGTCCAATAAGAAGAAGAGTGCTATGAAAGAGTGGGTTAGCTGGGTGTGAAGAGAGTTGGAGTTTGTTGTCTGTGCTGTGAAGAAAGCTGGAGTTTGGTTGCTTTGTGAAGAAGAAGAAGAAGGAGTCAGTGCTGTGAGGAGCTGCACATGAGAAATCACTGAGAAGGTATGGAACTTTTGCAATATGATGACAAGTAGTGACTGATTCCCAGTTCAGCACCTACACCTGTAAGGAATAGAATCATCTGACCCAATCTATGTATCTTAGCCATTTGGGCTGGGCTCTTTTTTAAGGTTTATGCCAAGAAAGAAGCAATACCCACAGGTAATTCATCTGATCTGCTAAGGCTGACTTGAAAAGTTCCTCGTTTGTCTGCTGAGGACAAAAGGAGCCTGTGGTGGGTAGCTCACACATAGGCATCAATATTTAGCAGTGCAGGTGCGATACAAGCATGGCCCACAAGGCCCAAAGGACTGTCTGTGATGCTGTATTTTGCAGTGTCCCATCACACAAGTAGGACACTTAGACCAGGACTGTGCTGCCTGGTTTCTGGTCTTACATGAAAACACATCCCCAGTAACTCAGAACATGGTGCCTGTGTGGAACCTTGAGGAAGCTTTCAACAACAAAAAATACAAACAAACAAAAACCAACCACAACAAAAAAACCACAACAATGACAAGGCTGATAGGAAGGTGAATACAAAACCCATACATATACTATGGCAGTGTTCTTCCCTGGGTGGGTTCAAAACTGAATTACACCAGGTTTTGGAATGAATCTTCAAATTTATTTCCTGAAAAGGATCTGAGCTCTGGTGCACAACAGCTGCTGTGGGAAATCAATCACATGTAGTGAGAATGTTTGCTCCAAAACTGCACTATTTCTGCAAATTGCAAATCTATATTTAGGCAATGAGGACCATGTTCCAATGGTAGCACAAGTGATATTCAAACAAAAAGACACCTGAGGTCATATTTTTATTGCTCAGATTGACTCTGTGAAATCAGGGATTATTGAAGCTGCTACTGAATGAGGATCTGTTATGCAGAAGCTCAGAGCAGACTATCCTGACTATTCCTTTAAATAGATGGAGTCTTGGATTATGCCTTAACCCAAGACTTGGGTCAGTCCTTAGGTTATCCAAAGGATGCTACTGTGAACTTCACTAGCATCTCCCAACCTTCCTTAAATTATTAACTGAGGGTCCATAGAAGTAGAAAAAATAGCCCTACCTTTCCAGGAGCATTCCTGAAATACAGCATGTTGTCCACGCTTCAGGAAAAACTGGTTTTCTAGGCTCTGATCCAAATTTGTGAGAACAGGTTACCAGGAGTCCAAAAAGGCAACCAATTTCTTCAAATGAATTAGAATGCTACAAGCAGGGAAAATATTTCATATACAAACAAACCATCAAAGTCTAAAGATTAAAGTACACAATTTTTACAAGATGAAAGACATTTTAATAGAGTTTATTCCAGCAGTAGGTCAGCTAGGTCACAGCAGGATGTTAAATCCTGCAGTCCCTGAGGTGTTTTAGAGAGCAAGAAACCAGACAGTACTCAAGATGACTTATAGGAATAAAGAACAATAGAACTGGCCCACTTCTGTGTTCTATGAAAAGTTAATTCACATTAAAACAAAAAAAAAAAAAAGTTAATGTTTACAGATAAAATCAAGACAATCAACTAGAGACTGGAAAATCAGGATTTCTGGAATTGCTATTCGGAGGGAATTTCCAACTGAGGCAACCGACATTTTCTTTGGACATCTAATAGATGCTGATGTAAATATTCTGAGCCATTTTAGGGCAGCTATACAAATATGAGCCTGCTGGATAGTAGAATATATGCAGACTCTTTTAATGTAATTATTGTAGGTGAGCTCTCAATTCATTTCACCTTGTTAGCACATGCTAGTTACCAATTCAGACACATTCTGAAAAATCTAGACAGTAGCCAATAAAGGGAGAAATAGCTGAGATACTAAGTTCATTGTCAGCAAAAATACAAAGGCTGCTACCTGAGACAATGTGAGAAATCCCTGAACAAATACCAACCATATCAACAGTGGGGACGGGGTGAAGTGATAAGAGGAAGAGTTTGTCTGGAGGTTATCACAGAGATAACAGCTACCAATTCACTTTGCAAGCAGGGAAAAACTGAGCACTGTATGGGATAAAATGTGGAGGCAGAGAAATGCACCATAGCTCCCATGCAGATGTCCCAGGGAAGAAGCCTCCTTCTACTTGTGTGCAAGGATGAGCTGTTATTCAGTTCTAGGTACAGAAACAACAGTATCATTTATTTATTTCCCTCTCAAGCTGTGTGAGTAAGCTTCTGCAGCATGTTGGAAGAGGCCACGTGTTCTCCCAAGGACAGTGTTATTCTGATTGCCCCCTGCTCCACCTCACTCCCCTTTCTCAGCACATTTTGCTCACCTCACATATGCAGACAGCAAATTTGAGGGAAATGAACTTCAGCCAGTCCCACACAGGTTTCCACAGCCCCTGTTCACTTGTGCTGATCTGGCTTTGCTGCCAGCTCAGAAGTCCTCTAGGCTGTAATCACACTCCCTTCTGTCATTGATGCACACAGAGTTTGGGGAGGAACTTTCATTTGCATTGCCATGGCAGCTGTAACAGCTCTCCTGAGGAGGTTAGCTCAGGTTGGTCAATCATTTGTTGCACCTACACTTGACTCTCCCTTATCATGCTCCACATCACTTTGGGCAGCAAGACCCTGCCCTTATGATTAGTGACAACTGCCTTTTCTCCCCTGAAAACTTCCTTTAGTTTTGGGCTGCAATTCCTGCTTACACAGGTTCTTGCAGAAAACTCAACCTCTACTTTTAAGGTATTGCTCAAAAATTCCAGTGTCTTCCTGGAAAGCCAGGGCTTAGATGCTTCTAGAGGATTTCAGAAGTAGTATGCCAGTCCCATGAATCTTAGGTCACAGTAAGCCTTTTTTGGTACTACTCTGAACCAACAATCACACTCTGTCTGATATTATTATCTTCAGAAAAACAGCAACATAATGTAGCATCTGGCCCACCCTCCCACAAGAGCTCCCTGAGGAGGAACTGTCTGTTTGGTCAAGCAAATCCTCCTCACTAGATCCAAACTCTGCAGGTGTTACCCACTTGCACATGCAGGTTCTGTCTCCAAGCAGTTACATAATGGGAAGCAATCTCAGCTTTGGGGTACACATTAAATATGTTAGGCAGGTGCTAAAGGAGCTCACCTGTAAAGCTGACAGTGAAACAGGAACCCACACTGCTGAGATGCAGCACTGGACTGCAGACACTCAGTAACAAACAGCTCTGTCCACAGAGTCAGTGAAGTGCAATACCCACCCTGCAGTTCCATCCAAACTTGCATGCTGCTTCCCTTCTTTACAAGCAAGCACAGTTCATGACTAAATGATGAATTCTTTCTTTAACATCAAAGTTCACAATTGGTATCATGATTCTTTAGCAGGCACCCAAACACTTCCAAATAACACAATTTATTGAAAATTGTTTGAAAACACATTTGCACATTACAATCTTAGGAAATTCTTCACTTTTCACAAAGCAGTGGCCAGTGTCTCATCGAGGAAGACATAGAGTGACACCAATTCTGCTGTCAGCATTTCTAAGGCACATATTCACAAACTACTTTAGGAAAGTGCAGCCATAAAAATACATTTTATCTTTCCTTACCATTAAAGCTTCTTTTAGTGAAAAGACAAATTTGCTGTGTAACCTGAGATTTTCTAGAGCAATGCACAGCCCTCAAACTTGCTGTTTTACAAAACTGTAATAAGGAACATGGTGCTTCTTATTTTTGTGCAGATATTGACTTTTGATGAATTAAAGCAGACATTTTGCCCAAAACCAAAATGAAATGCAACTCTCAAAATTCAGAATTTTTCTTTATAGAAAGTGTGCCCCAAGCATCTGGAGCCCATCAGTTACATGGATCAGATTCACCTTCTGTGACAGGTTTGATGATGCCCCAATGCTAATAGGATGCTTACACCCCTTACAGCCAGAGCAGCAGCTCTCGCCTTCCTCTGCTGTCCCAGTGGTTCAGGCTCCAGCCCTGGCCTTGCAGGGCTGCCTGAGCTGTGATGTAGTGGAATAACTTGTGATTTCTAAATTAAAACACATCATTCCATTCTATTGGGGAATAAGTGCTACGATGATGGAGTGGTCACAGGATACAGGAAAACAAGGGTGAACCTTACTTAATTTGCTTCGTACTTATTTACTACAAGTAACTGAGTGTGGCACAGCTGGAGCCCAGATAACACCCCAGGTTTACGACTGTTTTTTCTACAACTTTCACAAAAGTGTTAAAACTGGAGTTTAATATATATTGAAGTGAAGGGAGATGACCCATCTTAATTGATCAGCATTGAGCTCCAGTTTATTGATTCACCGGGCATATTTTATAACAGTGTTAATTAAGCTCATACATATTGCAAAATCCGAGCTCATCATAGGTCACAGATTTAAACATTAATCCCTCCTTTTGTTTTCAATACCTGTGGTTTGTTATTGAAACCAAGATTTGTGTTCTCACCCTGATATGAAAGGTTCTCAAAACTTACTTTTACTTTCCCGTACTTTATCCAAGGACAAGGTATTTACTTGTTATTGAAGACAGGCTTGAGAACTCTTGCTGTTTACAGAAACATGCCTGGGAAACAGGCTTTGAGAATTTGCTGCTTACAGCTGCCTTTTCTACTTCTCCATCAGTTGTATATTTTCATGGCCTTTTTCCTTCAAGCCATGTCTGAGCAAAATTCTCCAACAAATATATGAACGTGTTTACTTTCTCTCTTACAAAATACAAATATGAAACCACCTTCCAATATCACTTCTGTAATTTTGTAGGTCAGAATTATGTTCAGCATTATCAGACTTCCAGGAGAAATAGAGCAAATGGATTTATGTGAAATCAAATTGCTTACAAAAGCAAAGTGAAAAAACTTGTATCCAACATTAATTACTATAATCACATAGAGCTGAGGTACAGCAACCATTTTTCATTTGTACATATTGAACAACAAAAAAAGTAATAAAAAAAAATATATATAAACTTAATTGGAAACAAACCTGAAATGGTTTTCTACTGCTCAAGAGAAAGACAATTTTCTCTTAAATGCTTTAGTGCATGCCCCTCCTCATTCCCAAGAGCTAATGCATTTATTCTTCCTGTTCCAAGGCAAACTGAAACCAGTCAAATCTTTCTTCAAATCAAGAAAGCTGTGAACTAGTGAATTGATACATATTCACCTGAGATTACTCTGAAATATAGGACAAGATAACAATGATTAACAGCTAAGGTGCACAACTGTTTGGTAACTTTTGAAGCAGCATTTACACAGAACAGTTTTTGCTACAGAACAGTGAAACTGTCATCTGTAATGAGAATTATTGAACATAGCAGAGGAAGAAACAGTATGAGAACTGCAAGCAGCTTACTCTTCTACTTTCTTCTATTCAATATTGTCCTGTTCCCAAGTTTTCTGTAACATAAAAAGAGGGAGAGAAAGGAAGAATAAATTTTAAAATATCAATTATTAAAAATATTTAATCTTTAACTCAGTTTATTTCATGCTTATGTAATTTTCACCCAAATGTGTTGACTCATTTCAAAGTAGTGCTAAGTAAATTCTATGAGTAGATGCATTTTATCTAAAGTGAAACCACAAAGCTAAATATAATCTACACATGTATTCAGTTTTGACTAATGGGTAGAATTAACCACGAGATTAAAAAAAAAATGCCAATGCTTTTCTTATTTTTTGAAATCTGGATTTAGTTATTTAATCTTTTCTAGAGTAATCCTGTTGAATAAAAATTGTTATCCTGTTGAATAAAAATTGTTATCCACTAGTGACAAGTTCGAACAAAATCAGCTTGGCTACTGATAACCACTTAAAAGAATCACACAAGTGCATTCATCCAAGCACTGAACAAGTCACCTGCAACAGTAAACAGAGAACTACCATCCATAAATTCCATTGAGGAAATCAAGGGCTTTTCCAGACAGACTGTCCTGTACCTTGTGTTGGCTCAAGAAACAGAACCACTGTGATGTTTGGAGGTGGGAAGGATCCAGGCAAGAGTGAAAAGGAATGTCTTGTCTACTTATTTTTTGGTTATTTTAGGGCAGGCATCAGTACTGTATGTACATGTGCCAGGTCATTTAATCTCTTAATATTCTGTTCTTTGCTCTCATAATTTGGGGATGGATCATTATCTTTAACATGTAGTACAGGAGAGCAAAAAAGAATTCAATTGAAAATCATAGAAGAAACCCCTGCATCTAAGGACTGAACTCCAATTTCTAGTATCTCATGCCACTACTTGGATCAAGAACCATCAGGCAGAAATGCTGCTCATATGTAGCCTCAATTGTCTGCTCAGCACAGCTGCTCAGTGTCAACACCATGTGAGACATGTTCAGAGGGGAAAGTTGTGCCCTCCTCACAAAAGTGCTCAAAATACTGAAAAGCTGAATGGGAGACTCATACCAGCCCCAGCTCTGATGGATCTGCATAGGAAAAATAAAGTAAGACCAAGTTTCAGGCCCAGATCCTGCAGAGATCAGGTGTCTCACAGGAAATACAACCTCCAATCAAAAGGAAATCTATGACTACCACGTTTACAGGTGAATAAACAACCAATCCAACATCACTCTGGCAAAAGCTATGGCAAACAAAGCTACAATTTTATAAAACCTGTTTGTATCTCTATCACTCTGCAGATTGAATACGAGTATTTATGTTGGGATGTCTTTGTTGTATCAATGCATAAATGCAATTACAGATGAATATTAAGGCAAAATAAAAAATAATGTCTACACAATGTAATTGAAGTGATTCTAAATTGTAAACTGAAGACACGAAAAAATGAAATATAATTTAAAAATGCATTTTTAATATATCTTCAAACACTTACACAGCTTGGTTTTGTACAGCATCCTACATAAAAGATGTACCCAAAATACTTAGCAGACTTTAACATCTCAGAGTTAAGCAGCAGATGAGGAAAACAATTAAATGCTACAGACAAGAAAGAAGACAAACTTTCAGATGGGACTTGACACAAATGGGAGAATTAAGTTAACTTTATTTCCTGTTTTAAGTCTAAAATAAATCAGTGTGATAAAGCAGTATCAAAACATTTCCGTTTACCTCAATAGCATCATCCATTTCCGTGCTCACATACAATCATTTCAGCTTGTGTCAGAGTAAGGAAACTCTTTTTCTGGAGAGCTGTCATCACTTAGGTCACTGTAGCTGTCACTGTTGGAACCAATAAGAATTCAGAAAGATCTAAACAAAATTTTTCATTTCAAGCCCTCCAACCCATGATGTATATGATCAACACTTTCCTCAAATGCAACCCATTTCCAGAAAACTTCTTTAGGCTCATGCTAAAAACATGGTATTTTAGAACACCTTCCTCCAAAGGAATGGGGTCAAGTCTGGAGTTTAAGACCTGATGCAAAATAATGCTCTACCTAATAAACAGTACATTCAATTTCTTTTTGCTTGACTCCTGTACATTCATTCTGCATTTTGCTGGTGCTGTGTGTCTAAGATCATGGTTAACATGATAGATAATAACAGGTATTCAGAACTAAAATAAAAGGAATTTCTCCCTTATGGTAAAGAAAATCATTAAGTTAAGACAATCAAAAGTTAAGACAACTTTATTAGCTCACAATTCTACACTTAAATTATAGTCCTTGCTCTTTTAGTAAGAACACAAATAATTTTCATTGCACCAAGCAATATCCTGACAGTGTTTCTAGAGGTTTTATCCCCTTTTGTATCCTTGTATACTGAGAGAAGCAGACTGGTTTTCAGAGACCAAATTGCCATGCAAGTGATTGTTTCATAAGTGGTAAGAACAAGGAAACAGTGAAGAACAGGAATCACCACAGTGACTGAGAGAAAGAAGTGCCCACAAACCACATTTTCAGTTAGTGTCTATTGGGTCTCCAAGCTTATCTTAAATTTAAGTGCACTTCAGAAGTGCCTCCAGCCTCAACCCCGCCCTACTATATTTCATTCTACAGTCTGTTTTCCAGATATTTTAATTTCCCCAGATGAGAAGCCAGCAAAGGCAGCCCAGGGAACAGATAAGCATTTGAGCAGCAATAATTGTAGTCAGCCCTGTGACCCTCCAGAGCCCAGGCCATGGTTAGCACAGCACAGGGGGGATCTCAGACCCCATTTGTGTGGGATCGTGACAGCCTTGGGTGCCAACTCTGTGCCAGGCACTGACTGCACAGCTGTCCTGTGACACTTCCCCTTTACACACCCCTTCATCCTCCAGACAACAGGACCACACTCATGTTGTGTTCCCCATCTCTGGGCATGATCGCCTGCTGAGACATGGAGCACATAGCCCAGCCACCCAGAGCCTTATCAGCAACTGCCTTATCAGTGACTACCTGCTGGGCACTGCTTCAAGGGAGCCATGCAGCCCCACAGTCTCTGATGAGGCTGCACTGTGGAACAGTGAACAAACTGCGCTCAGCTACTCTGCTGTTTTCTACTGAGCACTGCTTTATAGCCTGAATGTCACCCTCTCTTCTTTGAGAGAAAAAGAAAACTAAAGAAAGAATAGGTAAAAACCCAGACACCTAAACAGAGTGGGACAGGAGGAATGGCACCAACAGTCACCTCATTTAATTTCTACCTCTGTTAGGAAAGTTTCCCACAGTTACAGCAAGTCACTGTACCAAATCTGTGTAAAACAGCATAGATATTCTGGCTGTCCTAACATTCAGACTTTGTCTACAGCATTCTGCCCTGGTCTGTGTGACACACACACTGCTGATGTGTTCTTATAAAGGGTGTGTCACATCAGGCTAATGTGAAATGTTCAATTGGATCGTTTCATCAGCTGGTGATCAATTACACAGCTCAAGTGAGGAAAGTGTTGTTAACAGTATGATCAAGCATGCCAGATGCACACAGACAAACACAACACCACCAATATTGTACTTACTTTTTTCTGAAAGTACCCATGGAAACATGGAACAAAAATTCAGTATTATTAAAACAGTTTTGCATTTTCACATCACAGCAAAATAGCAAATACTGTCCACAGAGCAGAGAGTAAAACTGATTGTAGAGAACTGCACAATCTTATGACAGCCATGATTTAAGACCAAAGTTTTCAGAGAACTTCTGTTTTTTTAATTAGCTCTGCTAGCCAGTGGCAATCCCAGCCCAAAACCATGCCAGAGCTCTGTAAAGAACACAGTATGGGAATCATGCTTAAGTAGAAGTGCTCACCAACCAATGGGGTGAGTGGACAACTGCCCAGCTTCATCTCTTGGAGGCAGTCAGGTGCTGACCCACACCCAGCACTCTCCTCATAGGTCCTCCCCCACTCAGTGACACAGGTGTTAGAGGGATTTGCCCACAGAAGTGGATGTTTCTGTGGTTTCACTGACTTACCACCCAAACTTCTTAAGCCTGTTTTCAGATTCCCAAAGCTGAGGCTCACCTGGCTGCTAGAGCAGAGGCTAAAACACTTAACTCAGACGACAATTTTGTTCCTGCTCCCACACTGCCCAATCTCAGTACAGGATTTGACACCAAATCCCACAGAAGGGACATTCCTGACATCATCACATTCTTGACTTCTGCAGTAGCACCTCACAGTCTCCCCTACTTTAGGGCTGATCTATGGGGTGAAAGTCAGTTTGATGTCTCACAAGCAGGTCACAGGGCAAGAAAGGCAGGGGAAATACCCAGGTAAGGATCAGGCCTTGGGTTTCAGACTCAGGTAGCTATCAGCCTCTCAGGTTCAGCTGCTTGAATGATTTGTCTAAGCATACCCAGAACCTGTGGCATCATCTTAAAAATAAAAACTTGGGCCTCAAGGAAACCTGAACTTCAAGACTTAGGCTGCCAGTGGACTTGAAAGCAAATAAGGACTCCTGAAACTTGGCATATCTGCACCTGTGTGTTACAGCTTCAAACCAGCATTGGTGTCAGGTTTTTGAGATTTACTCTGATTTCAAACATATTAGTATTATGTGTAATCTGAAGGAAAAGTTCAGATTTAGGTGGCATTAACCAGAAGCAAGCCATCTTTTCTCTTTGGAATAAATGTGTACTTTGTTCCAAGTTACAATGAGTTGTACACAGATACTAAACACAAAACTCAAATGGATGCTTCGTGCTCACAGTTGGTAATATTCAGTAACCTTAGTTAAATCTGCTGGCTGTGAAAGTGGTAGTGGTGAGAAACCAAATAAGCCCAGCTTTCTTTAATGAAATTCTTTTGCACACTGAGCCAACCACTGAAAAAATATGCTTACATTTGCTTCAGCAAATTAGTCTGTTTTCAGATTAATCAGTAATTATCTTGTGCAGGAGCCTGACACCCACTTCATCTTATTTGTAACAATTCTTACAACAGTGGACAACAATAAGAAGGTATTGAGCAGATCTGAGGCCACCAGATCTAAGACCTAACCCCAACAGGTTTTGTTTGTTTATTTGTTTTTGTTTGTTTGTTTTTGTGGGATCTCAAGTATAAAGTGGTGGCCAAGAGAAAAAAACATAACAAAACTCAATGCAGTGTCACTGGTTCTAGTCAGTCACTTCAGATGATGAATTTTGGTCACCTCACTCCCGTAAAGCTTTCTGGTTTTCACTTGGAAAATCCACATCAATATTCTTTAGAAACAAAGCAGCAGTTTCAAGGAAGCTTTTCCTTCATCCATTTTAATGTACAATTGATAAAAAACTCCTTTTCCAGAAACATAAGGAATTAAAATAATTACTACAGTAATGCTATACCCTGCAAGGTGCCAAGCTAAGTGCATTTCTTCCTCAGTGCAAATTAAAGATACATGAAGTACAGATAAATTTAATACAGACTGCAGTTGTTTAAGTGTTTAGCTTTTGAGGACTCAGCAAAATGAAATCTGCAAATTATAATAATTTATTTCCCCCTAAAAAAGCTGAATTATTAAAATTATTATGTCATTAAAACATTATTTTGAATAAATGCATATTTGATTGTGCAATGGTTATAACTGCAGTCACCCATATTCTTGGTACATATTTTTATGATTATTATATGGTCATAAAAATCACAGATATCATTTATGGTCATAAAAAATTTATCTGTCATTTAAAGTCATGATTATCCTTTAAAATGATGGTCATCATGATACAACCCTATGCCTCCATTAAACATCATTTCATTTGGGAATCCCTCAGCACAAACCCAAAACTGTGAGCCCCCTGCCCTCACATAACTGGACCTAGGATAAAATCTTCATCTGGGACAGGCAGCAGCAGCTCCCTACAATCACTGGAGAGAAACAGGCTTTGGCAGTTTGTAATGCAGAACTGACCCACAGAACAGTTATAATGAGCTATTTGCTTCCTTAAAGTGCATTTTCACTGAACAACTGCAGAAAAAGACTTGAGGTCACTAGCTCAGAAGGGTTTTCACTGTAAACATCTAACATTTAAATTACAAAGTTAACTGACATGACTAGCCATTACTAAGTGCCAGAAAGGATTTTCTTTAAAACTTCTCTGTAGTTTTCCGTACGAGCTCTGAGGGTAACAGGGTCTTTGCTGTCCCAACCATCCCCACTTGGGACCTGCACCACTGGAAGGTCACTGGAGCCAGAGAACTTGTCTTCTGTGGCAACGGTGGTACTGACTGAGGACACCACCCCCACCAGGACAGCTCCCACCCCTGGCTCCTGGAGTGCCACCTTTTGTGGAGTAGCCCCCCTCTTGCTGCTCTCCTGACAGTCTTCAAATCCCATTTCCATCAAATCACGTCTGGATTCAGCCAATGGCAGAAGCATGATGGTGTGCCAAACGTGTTCTCGACTGGGGACCACGTACAGGGGACATCAGGCACCAGAACAGGTCACACAGGCTGGTTTCTGTCCTGTTCATAGGTGCTTTCCTCCACAGCTGGTCTGAGAGAGAGCTGGGCCATGCTAATGCAGTAAGCACCATATGGGCAAATTTTCTGAGGTTTTTGGTGTTTCATTTAATGCACCATTCCTTCTGTTCTCTGGCCACTTTTGTTCTTTGTCTCTGAACACAGCTCATAGGTCATCTTTGATTAATGTTTTTCCTAGAACTCAAGAGTACTCTGTGACTGGATGGCATTGGATTGGTGCTTCACATTAGCATATTCACTAATGCTTTGGAAAGCTTTGTTTTGGCAGTAGTCAGTGCTGCCTACACTTACTCACCTAGGAACACCTCTCATTTCCTACATTTCCTCCCTTGTACTGGATATTTGTGTTTATTTATCTTTAGCTTCTTATCTTCTTCCTCCAAAGATATCATTATACTCAACAGAGATTACTAAATTCCCTACATATTTTTTGTTACTTCTTTGTTCTGAATAGCGCTTTCATCTCTTATTCAAATGACATTATTTGCAAATATAATTAATGCACTTGGGCTTACTCTTGCAGGCCATTAATAAAGGTGCTGGCTGTAGAAAAAGAAGAAATAAAGCCTGCTGATGCTAAACTGGATAAGGGGGAAAAACACATCAAAACAAAACAAGTAACATGGCTTTATTGTACACCAGTGATTTTGCAACTCATATTATACTGTTCCCAAAGACAGATCAGTTTTTATTAATTTTTTCAAATGAAACTACCTAAGTCTCAGTAAAAGCCAACAACATTACAAGTGAAGTTCCCCTCTTCATCCACTAGTTTCCTATTAAAACCCTTGGTTTTCTCTTTTAAAACAGCATATTTGTGGGTATTGTACACTTCTGAGTCTCATGTAGTTTTGGTTTTCTCTGTCCTTGGAAATGAAAATGTAAACTGGCAGCCTCCCACCACATTCCTCACTTCCATATGAAATGGTGACTTCAGTATTTCCATGGAAAGATTTGGAAAAGGTCATGATCTAAAGCCATTCACAAGGAAATGAAGTGCAGGGCTTTGATGGTTGGGCACTCATGCCATAAAGCACAAGAGGCTGAAACCACAAAGGCAAACTTGGGAGCCCAACTAGTACTTCAGGTAAATAAGTAACAATTAATCACTGAGCTACTCTGATCCTTTGGTCAACTCTTGACTGTCTCTTGGTGCATACACTGACATTTCTAGGAACTACATTTTCCCCAGAGGATGCATTCCAGTCTCAAACTAGGCATGTTCATGCCTATGTGGGCCTATGTCTGTACTAGACTAGGCCTTACAAAAATTTAAGAGACACTTTATTCACTTTCATTTATTTAGGGCACTCTCCCAGAAGTCGTAATGCATCCTTAAAGTTATTATTAGCTTTGCTTACAAGCTAGGGCTTCTGTCCAGGTGTCAAATACTCTAAAATCACACCCTAATTATGGGGCTATTAAATGTTCTGGAGTAATAGTTTCCTGTTAAGACTCTCATGCTGAAATACCCATTTCCTTTTGTCTCAGGACTTCATCATTCACTCTCTCTTTAGTGTTTATGGTAGCCTTCCTTTGGTAATCCGCTCAGCTTGCTGGTCTCCACAAATTCTCTGCCAGCTTACTTTGCTCTAGTCCACAGCACAACTAAAACACAGGTGGGTGGTGCTGGATGAGGTGTGCAGAAAATCCTCTCCTCAGATTTATTTCAGCCTTGCTAGAACATGCCTTAGCTTTACAACTCAATGACATCACCAGCATTCTGGGGTTTAAAGGTTTACACTGGAAATCTTTCCACTCAGCAGCTGGGTATGTTAATATGAGTGTGTGTGCTGTAACTAACTGCAATTCCCTCCTGAATACTCGTCCATACAAAATTTTCCTCTTTTAGCCTCAAAATTCCTTCCTATTCCAGTGATCTGAAGACACAGGGGTATGCTTGACTGTTGTGTAACTAGGTAAATAGCAAAACTCTGCAATTTTATTAATTAAGTTTTGGAGTATGGATTTTTGTCTTTGCTAAATGTTTAAGATTTGGTAGGAGTTTATTCTATGAACATGAAGAATAAGAGTTGGGTATACATTTTGAATGATTAATTCAAGTAAGTCTAAGTGGGGCAAATTCAGTAATGGCTGAAATGGTCAGGGTTAGATGGCATAGTTGTTATAACACTAAGGGATGTAAATTAGCAGGATGCATGCAGATCACTTATTAAAAAAAAGTAATTTTTTTTATCTCAGAGAAATAAAGAGGATTACTTATGGGATAAAGCAGTGTAAGAAAGGATATTGGGGCCTGTGAAGTGTGAGTCAGAGTGCCCACCGGGAGGTAATGCTGAAAATCACAGTGATGGAATGCTCTGCCTTGCCAAGCACCACAAAAATTTGATCTGTGTATTTCACCAGCACACCTTTTAAAAGGTAGCTAACATTATAACTGCTTCTAACAATAACAGGCTAAGGTAAAAGGAGAGTTTCAATCAAGCTGTGGTTTGCAGATCAGAAATTCATTCTCTTTGTATCGCTCCACAACCAGGCAGAGTGAATAAAAATTGATACCCATAAAGGAGTAGGGAACCAAAAGAGATTGGTCTGGTTTGGCTTGGCTGTTTTCCCATTACTACTCAAACTTGAATAAAATTGCTATTTCTCTCCTAACAAACACATCTTATTTTAATAGAACACAAGACTTGGGGAAAAAAAAAAGCCCAACCCACAGAATTAATAAGTTTGGTGTCTTGTTTAGAGGAAAAGCCAAAATGCCAGAGTTGGATCTGTTCAATGTTATTATTCAGTCATTTTATGATTTTTTAAAACTTTTTGTTACTGTGCCCAAGGCTTCCCTCTGATTTCTTTATTATTGCTATTATAATTAAATTTTAACTGTTTTTAATATCATTGAAATAAACAAGAATTAGTTAACCCTGGATAAAAAAATATTGGTACATTCAATAAACCAAAGCCTCTGTGTCCAAGAGACCAAGGACAGAGTTTTGGCTGAACCATCCAGTTCTGACCTAGATCCAAATCCTTCTGTAAGTCAAAAGGTGTCCCAACTGTTTTATTTCAGGCCTGTCTCTGAAAGACAGTATTTATTATTTAGCTACTTCAAAATAAAATTGGTGCTTTCTTTGTTGTTGTTATTACCATCATTCAAGTACAACTGGGTACAAATTTCACTTCATTGTTTGATCCTCTAGCAAATCTCTTTCCCTATGAAGCTACTGTCAATGGAAGTTAACACAGGAGGCTGCTATCTTCATTTGAAATTATTAATTTTTTTACTTTTTTCTGATTGTAATGTGGAGCTCTGGCTTTAGCACTAATAGCCTCTGAAAAGGAAGAAGTGAGGAACTGTGCTTCCTGCTTACAGGTTATTTTACACCCAGGTATATGACAGGTACACAGTCACAAGTAAATCAATACACGAAGAACTCCTTTTCCTCTTCTGGGCTTCTGAATTGAAGGATGGGATAGTCCCTATGAAAATGTGACTGTCAAATGCAGGCAAGCAAAAAACAAAGATTACCTGGGAGACAATTTACATCCACGCTGCAGGTATGCATTCAGTGTTCCAGTTGCTGCCAGCAACAGTCCAAGGTATGGAGGTGAAGGTTTCATAGGTCTTGAGGAAAATTCTGGGTGGAACTGAACTCCCACAAAATATGGGTGATCTACAAGATAGACATCAAAGAAAATGACAAAATGTAGGAAGAAAATCGTAGAAAAACTTTTAGGAAAAAATTAAAGATTTCAGACTAGTGTCCAGAAGCCAGAGCAGCACATGTGAATTTAAGGGTGAGGGAGCAGAAAACTTCTTTCCACAAAAGGCAACTGACAACAGAGGCAGAAGGTTAGTAGGGCAAACCAAAGAAAAATCATCCTCTGATTCATAAAAACTGAATAATAAACCTGTACCAACATGTAAGGGTGGGAGGAGAGGGACACAATTGGAAAGTCACAAAGTTTACATTTATCACACTATTTTCATGGTATTGTGGTTTCCAGTATCTATTTATGCATGTCTATTCAGAACAATATGCTCAAAGCAGGGACAAACTCAAAGTTAAATCAGGCTGCTGACAGCTTTGTCTAGTCCAATTTTGAAGGTCTAGATGGAGATTTCACAGACTCTGTAGGTAATACACTCCAGTAATGTCATATCCTTTGGCTATAGTGGATGTCTTCATATTCCATAAATGAAACACAAATTGGGAAAAATGAAACACATATGGAGACCTTACCAAGAACATTTGAAGGTGCTTAGGGAGCAGGGCAATGTCACTGTGAAACTGGCATATAGATAAAAATCTACAAATTCTCTGGGGCATGGTGACTGCCTTTCCTAGTCATCAGGTCTCTGATGAGTAGGAAAAGGCAGTCATCATGCCCCTCTTCAAGACAAAAAGACCCAAGGAACCACAGAAAACTCCTGACCTTCAGAACATGAAGGTCTGGCACAACAAGCCTGAGAAGAATCTGTCTTTGGATGTAGGGAGAGCACTGACTTTCCTTAACTCTGACTTTAACAAAGCTTTTCATATGGTTTCCTACCCTTTAAGTTGGAAGCTGTGGACAATGGGTAGACCACAAAGTATGTTAAAAAAATGGCCAGACTTCTGGATTCAGAGAACAGTCATGAGTGGTTTGAAGTCCCAGCAACAGCATACTTGGAGGCATTCAAAACTTTACTGATACAACTCTAGAGAAGTTGACCTATATTTGGAGGTATCCCTGTGCTGAAGCAGAAGGTTGGACAATATAATCTCCCAAATCACTCAATGATTCTGCATAGCCAAATGCCCCTGAGATAGACTTAGGGCCTTTTGGAAAATGAGCACATTTGTCCCACATAATCAAATACATGCACAGTCTTTGCAAAGTGTAAGACTTTTCCTAACCCACTCTGAATTTTCACCCATTGTAATTCACAAGTAGAGTTAGCAGTATCCCCCATAATGATCTTGGCTGTTAAGACAGCTAAATATTGTGCCTATATGTAATTCAACAACCTATAGTTTATAGTTTATAGTTCATACAGTTTTAACAGATGCAATAAGTATTACAAACAAGTAAGACACTCACTCTCCAGTTCAATAATTTCCATCCTGTTCCCTTCTGTATCATGGCCAACAAATTTCAAGCCTTTCTCTTCAAAGCAGTGAGTCAATTCTGGGTTCACCTGAAATGTTGAAAGCAATAACAATGGTAGTTCTGTTTAGTTTTGGATTTAACAAACAGTGGCAGTTAATTGTAATGGTTTTTACATGCATACAAGAATGAAGAGAATTGGGAAAGGGTTGGGAACTTTTGCTTTCTTTTTTTAACAACTCTGGCATAAATTTGTAAAAGTGGACATGTTTATTAAATAAGAGATGAATCAGTAATTTTAAAAGTTACTATGAAATATTCAAAAATTAAAGCCAGGGTCCCTTCTGCTTGCTGCTCTTCTGAAACCAAGCAGCCTGAATTCCCCCTTTTTAAATGACCCACTAGATGCCCACTGACCTCCCCTCTGAACACTGAATTTCAGTGGTTATGACAAAAGCTGGAATGCAGCTCTTGCTTCAAACTGAGGAGCTCTGCAGTGAGCTGTCTCATTTCCTTGATGATGTTTTAACCACTCAGTTAATATCCAAACTTGAGCAGGTTTGCCACCATCATATTCTGCTCCCTTTCAAGGAAGGTTAATATTGTCTGAATCAGTTACAGCATGCACAGATCTGATAGTTCAAGGCCCTTTAGAGACACTGATGGAGTCAGATCCCTTCTGAACTACCTCAGAGGTAACTCCAGGAGTCCACCTCATGTGTGTCTCCTTGAATGTCAGTATTCTGAAGGTATTCAGGCACCCTATCCCAGATGTTTGCATACCGAGGAGTGGATCCATGCAAAGGACAGTGCTTACCTCATAGCGATGCCTGTGTCGCTCCTCTACAAACATTTCATCACCATAAAGCTTCCCTGAATAAACAACAAAAGAGAAATTAAAAGCCCATGTGTTGCTTTAATAGTTACTACAATTATTCCTTGTAATTCAAACCTCAAAGAAGTCACATTTAGCACTTGTTAAACACAACAAGACCTTACTCATCTCACTGCATTTTTCTGTTCTTCCTGAGTGGAAGAACACTCATCCTGAGTGATGACTAGTTTCTTTTAATTCACTGTTACCTGAGTTTATTCAGGATTCATATTCAACATCCCTTGACTAGAAATAGCTTAGGCAAACTAGACTCTAAACACAATTTAACTAATTTAAATTGTGAAGCTTTAAAACAAAACGTCTGAGTGAGCCAGCAATGTAAAATCCCTTCAGGGTTTTGCAACAGTTGTACACAAAAGATGCAGGGAAGGAAGCCTTTTAGTAGCATCTGTTCCATTTTAATAGATTATGCATGGCACCTGGCAGAGTACCTCCAAAGAACAGAGAATATTGCTTTTCTCTGTTTTCCTGATCTCATTACCCAAATGACTCTGGCAGTCTTCTGTGCGTTGTCTCGAACACTCTGCCTTTCACAGCAACAAGGAGCAAATCTGAGATATGCAGTAAACTTCTTTCCAGGTTTCAATCATATCTCTTACTTATAATCATGGCTCAAACTTTGCTCTCAGTTTACACTAAGGTCATGAGAATTACTCTCTTGCTAGGGGGTTGGTACATTAACTTAACTGCCAAGAACATCTTCAAAAATTGTAGAATAATAGTACTGCCATTCTACAAAGTATGGTGTATGTCTTAATTTTAAGGGATCACTTTTCCAAAACTATTATTTTCATCCAAGTTGTAAAACATAAGAAAAAGAAATCTTATTTCCTGATTAAACTACCATAACTTTTTATTATTCTTTCCAAAGATCTAAACAGATTTAAACAACTCAATATTGGTCAAAGGTTACAACACATTTTAATTTTTATTAACTTTTCCAGAAGTGTTTAGGTCACACAACAACTTGAACATTGTGATATGCATATCTACATCACACATAGGCAAAGTATCACCCAGGCTATTAGATCACTAGTATGGGCATCTCTGGAATTGCAGATTTTTCATTAAATGTGCATGTGGTATTACACTCTGGTCTCCTGTTGAAGTAGGTGTAATTTTTAAGTACTCAGAAGGATACATTCCTTAAGTTTAACATAGCTAAATAGAGAATACCTCAGATCAATACCAGGGGCAGAAATACATACAGATTTAGTTAATGGACAAGAAACTACTTTTCACACTTTTGCAGCATCATCTATATTACTATTGTATAATGGGCTGATTAATAGGAGACAAGTATTACTTCAATTTTAAAACACATGTAGATCTAATTAAATAATTTTTTTCTATATTCTGGTTTCTTTTATTTTGTTATCTGAAGCATCCTGTTACAGCAAATAATTTTCCTTTTCTGCAACAGATACTTTGCTTTCCCAAAACAAGATTGCTTCCAGGATCAAGCTAGAAAACACGAAGAAAGCATTCTGACCTTCTCAAGAACATAATGAATTAAACTGCCAAGAAAAGAATTTCAGTTTTCTCAACATTTTACTCATTGCTTTTAAAAAAGCATTGGACCCTCAGTGACAGTTTCACTGGGAGTTACAGATGCCTCTCATTTCTTTTTTTCATTCCAATTCTCAGTAAATGTAAATAACAGGATCAGAGTGAACGAGCTCAGGAAAGCTGTCACCTAACTGTTTGCTTAAGATTATAGCTTTTTTTTTTTATTTTCTATGTTACAAAGCTCCTATCCAAAAGGCAAAGTCATAAGAGCAGAAAAATAACTTACTTAAAACAGAATTTTCAGTTTTAAAAACAGTCCTTCTCTTTCCCAGTCTCATTGTTCCTCCCATATCTCCAGGATTGTGTTCTGGCATGTCAATAACCTGTAGAGAAAAGTTGCTCAGAGACTGTTTCATTCAACAAATAAAAAAAATCTGAAAACAAACAAGCCTAGCCTAGCAAGTGGCATAGATTTTAAGTGGCAGCTTTATGTATTTTACCTTCAACCATTCCCAATCATTATTTCTCTTTTGTTTTTCTAATGTTTTGCTCTTCAATACTGCATTGCAATAGACTGACAAGGTTAAAAGCTTGTGACAAATGTTTTCATTTAATGTTATGATTGACAAAAGTAACTTATTAATTTCTTATTTTAATTTTTTGGGGTGGGAAAAACACCTTTCTTTCAAAAATTACACAAAATGTTACCAATAGGATAACTCTTCCCAAAGTTATTTTTTGTGCTAAGATAGTACACAGATTTTTAAAAATTCAAATACATAGACCAAAAAAGTCCACGAAGTGATAAAGACACCATCTTTGGAAAAACAAAGTCCCTGAACCTCACAGAGGCTGAAAGATTATATGTATTAAATATGAGTAAATAATATGGGTTAAAATTTCTGTACACTAGGCCATTTATTATATTGCTTTTTCTTATGCTAAGAGGCAGACACAGCTGTGGTATCAAGTAAGAAGGCAACCAATCTCTTGGGCAGTAGGAAGAGGAGAAGGGCGTGCAGCAGCAGAGTGAAAAGAGGACACTTGTAGTGAGAGGACAATATTGTAAAAGCAGAGTATGGGAACAGGTGACTCCAGTATGTGTGTGCTATTTCAGATTATAGATATAACTAGCTTATCACAGAAAATGGAAAACCATTCCCCTCCTTTCATCTCTACTACAGGGTTTCTCAGATTGCTGAAGAGTAATAAGAGTATTAACAAAATACTGGGTTGCCTTGTATGAAGAATATGCTGTTTAACATAAAATTTAAAGACGAGGATATACAAATACTGGGTTTGAGGACTGAAGCAGATGGGCCAAATGGCTTCTACGTGGGTCAGGAGAAACCCAGGAAAGTGGGATTCAGGACATGTCAGAAACCACAACCTAGTGGAAGGAGTGCACCTAGCTTTGCTCAGTTTGAAAAACCTTGCAGGGTCTCACAATCCAGTTGAGAGGAAATGTGTCTAAGAGAAGTAAAACAGTTTGAAATTGTAGAAACATGAGCTGAAGCTTTGACCTACGTACTTGTATTCACAGAAACATAGTCAGTGAGAAATGTAATTGACAAAGAAAAGTTCTAAAAATACAAATATTCACATATATGGGTAATCTCAATGGATTTTTATTAACCTTAATTTGCCCTCTGAGAGTAATGAAAACAATATCTGACGATACACTTCATAAAGTGAAGTTATTCAATTTAGGAGGGATGGTGGAAAGTGCTTAACCTTTGGCCTTGTGCCAATGCATTTCAGCTGTGTAATTATCACTGTACAACCTTATACATTCAAAATGTTATTTATAAGCAATATATTCATTATAAAATGTCATGAGCAGGAGTTGTGATCAAACCAATGGGATATTACAGATTCTTCAATTACCTCTCAAATCACAAAAGTAAGGACTGTGCAAGATGTTGAGGTAAGCCCTCCTCCACAAATACATAAAATAAAAGAAAACCCATTCACTGAATCCTTACTATTTTAAAAATATGAAATTTACTGAATTTATTTTATTTCCTTTCATTTATTTTCACTTTTTTCCTGAAGTAGTGGCCACAAAAAAAGAAGAGGATCTCAGAAGTAGAGCATCTGCTCTGCTGAAGGCTTCTATCCTCCTCTGGGTCAGACCCCCTCATGGCACTGCCAGCCCTACAAAAAATTTGGCTGCAGAAATGGTCTCACAGGGAAGGTTCAGGTGAGTTTCCACGCCAAGTGTTTGCATATATGTGTGCATGTGTGTGTTTGTTTTCAGCTCTCCATCTCTCCCAATACTATTAGATTAGTAAGATATTGACAAGTTTTGATATATTAACTTTTGTCATCAGGTGACAAAAGGAGCTATTTATGAATTAATGCCTTGGAACTGCTTTGGCTCTGTGGCCCAGATGCACTCCAGCAACTACAACAGCACAGCCCTCAATATTACTTGTCTATATATAACTTGAGTTTCTCTGCAACATCTGTGCAAGAAGCTTTTCAAACCAAAGTGGCACTGCTGCCCTATAGCCCAAAAAAGTAATGAGAATCAGAAAAGCAACGTCGTATTAATGAAATATTTTGCCATATTATATAGAATTTATTTGATCAGAAAAAGAAGAGGTTTAAAATAGTGGCAATTTTGAACAACTGTGCAACTGAATAGACTCTTCAACAAGCTTATGCTTCCTGGCACAGAATAAATCAGCTCTTCCTATGCATTAGTTCTTTGAAGGGCAGAGAACAGCACAGAACAGGCACCACAAGCAACAAAAAAGTATCAGTAGCGAGGATGCAAGAATATATAAGGCGTCAATTAGGTCTTTCTTACCCAAATAAACTGCCAGCACTACAGGGATTTTATAGAGCTTTTATATGTATTACATCAGATAGCCAACATGAAATTAAGAATGAATCACTGGAACACAACACAAAGCACATTCTAGATATAAAGCAGTCTGATCACTATTTAATCATGTTACTAATGAATAGTGACTTCAACTATCCATGAACAGAAATCTTCTTTCAGATATCTGCTGCCTGGATTGTTTCATTGTTGATAGAAAACATAAAAGCTAATGAGAAAACTTTTCAAGCCCTGACACTCAACATAGAGCAGCCAAGGCTCTGAAATCCCCACAAATATCATTTTAGCAATCATGCCAGGACCATTACATTTTATCTTTGTTTTGCCTCATGTTCTGCAATGCCATTTTGAGAAATTCATCTACTCTGGTTACCTTGGCAGGGGAAGGGGAGGGAGTGGGGGGTGTCTGCTTGGGTTTTGTTTGCAGGCTTTGTTTTTGAGGAGCTGAGGAGGGAGATGAGCATTACTTGATTTGAACAACTGATAGCTAAGCAGCTTTGAAAGCACATTTTTACAAGTTTGGGGTCTAGGCTTTTTTTTTTGTCTTTTTACTCAGCCCTTGACTGGTGAGCAAAAGATTTAACAATGCTGAAATAAATTACTACACATGTAAGTGCAGATCAAAGCATCAGGAGATGCCACAGCCCTGGAGATTACCTGAACACTGAGGCTCTGAACACAGCACACAAGGGATTGTGTAGAGGGAAAGCTGACAGAAGGAGGGAATGCAGTGACAGGTACTGATGAATAGTAATCCCTGCTGAACATAGCTATGGAAAGAAATCCAGCAGCACAAACTGACAAGGACTCAACCCAAACTTAAGGAATTCATCCTTTTATTGACTCCTCCATCATTCTCTGTAGGATTAGTCAGTACTTGCTAGATTTGATCAAATCAATCAACCACAAGTTCATCAGTAGAAAAATCCAGACACCTACAAATGGGATATTTATATTAACATCTATTCTGTTTTAGAAACAAACTAATACAAATGTTTTAAAGAAAATTTGACAACTACAACACTATCAGGGGCACAGAGACCTTCCAACTTGGCAAGGAAACCAAAATGACAGACTTTCCCTGTTCAGAGGTTACATTTTCAGCTGCTGGAAGAATGTGCAAATATTAAATCTACCTCCCTCGCTCCCTTTTCCCCCAGAGATATCCCAGTTCCAAGCAAACTGCATCACTGCCCACCCATCTGAAGCACTCAGTGCTCTAGGACTGAATTAACTGCCAACAAAGCCACTTGCAGATTTCAGACTACTCAGTGCCCCATTACTCTGACTGGAGTAATGTTGTTTATAAAAGAATATCCACCATCATGTGTAAGATCAAAGCAGAAATTATCAATAGCTGATTCATGCAATTACATACTGATACGAGCAACCAGCTTGAAAAATCCTGTCCTCTACTCTCTTCAATAAACTACAGCACAGTATCCAAACATTCCAACAAACACCAATTTAAATTTCTTAAAACTCTGAAAATCCCATAGAATACCACTGTCAACTATTTTCCAGTTTGGGTAATCCTCTTCTCCACAGATCAGTTGTTTCCTATTTTAGAATTAAGTAACTGCCAGGGAGCATTCATTTATTAAAGTCTAAAAGCTCTCTAAGGATTCTGTCTAAGCAGAAATTCTGCTCCAGAATGTTTTGTAACATTTTCTCCAGGAGAATTCATGAAGGGCGTGGCTTCTTTTCAAACAGTGCTTACTCACTGGTAAGCAGAGTGCAATGAACTGAGGAAGTTAATGGAGATGTTGATATGCAAAGCCCATAAAGATATTGCTGAACAGCATTTTGAGAACTCATTCAAGTTATTCCAAACACATGTCCTAGAGCTGGCTTAAAGACTTAATCAAGCAGAAAGTTTCAGACTGTCAGCATGAGTGAAAGGCACAGGGTCAGATAGTGCTGGCTACAGAAATACACTGGAGCGTCAGTCACACCATGCCACGAAGGGCAGGATTTGCACAGACTTGAATAACTAAAAAGGATGTGCAAGGGTGTTCTCAGACTTCAAACTGGTCCATCTCACATCATAATTAATAATAATTAATTTTAGTTGGAAAGGTTTTTTGTAGTGTAAAACTTCCCAGCTAAATGTAGAGCTGAAAAGAAATCCCTGGAAGATCAGCTGAAAGACACCTGTGGACTATTTGTTTTATCTACTGGATATGGAAGGGCATCCCATCAAAAGGATAGCTATTTGAATAGAAAATAAAAAAGACAAGGAGACCCTTGGTTGAAAAGTTGAAAAAGAGACTGCAAATTTTCAAGTAAGAGCTCTACTCACAGAAGAAAGAAGTGCAATTGCTATCTAGAGCATGAAATCCATGTCAGTCTTAAGAACACAAACCTGAACATCTGTATTTCTTGTGGCTTTTCTTCTGCTTTAAGAGAAATTACTTTATTCTCTTTTTTATTCAGCCTGATCATTCATTTTTACATTATCTGAGAACACACATTTGACTGAAGCTTAAACAACTTCTAGCAGCTAATATGATTTCACCAACTAGGTTTAGT